TCCTCTCTCTTTGTCCCGCCTATACTTCCTGCCTGGTCACTGGCCATCAGTGTTTTATTTATATAGAGTGATACCCACAGCAGGCTGTCATGTCCATCTAGCCCCTTATTATTTGTGTCCATGTTGCTGCACTGAGGAACAGGGCTCAGGGGATGAGCAGAGCTTACCGGGAGTCTGGAGGCTTCTGTTTCCAGGGAGAACCCATGTACTTCACCTACAGTTAGGACATGGAAAGCCATTGTGTTCCTCTGCCTTTTCACGTGGCACAGACGGGGTGGGGTAAACTGTCCGTTTGGCACTCCTGGCACCTAGGGTTGACTCCCTACTTGGAAATGTACCACTCCACTCGGGCGTGCTGTGGGAAGGTGCAGGAAGCAGCTGAGTGGAGGACTCACCTTCCTCCTCATGTGGCTGAAGAGCGTGGTGTGTCGTTCTTGTTTTCCTTGTTCCCGCAGCACTGCTTGAGAAGCCTTTTGAGCCAGCCTCACATGCCAAAGACACAGCAAGCACACCTCAGTGGCCCCCTTCAAAGGCTAAAGCAAGGTAGGCCCTGTTGGCACGTTTCTCTCCAGCCCCCTCCCTCCACGGCACTCCATCTCGGCCAGTGCAGTTAATGTTGGGAGAGTCTACTTTCCCCTCAGCTCTGATTATTGATGGAATCAGAGAGGGAGAGGAACCAGGAACCCAGTCCCGGGAGTCTGAAGGCCTGGCTTCTAGTCCTCCATCTGTTACTTGGATCCTCCCAGACCTACCTCTCTGCCCAGGTTTCCTTATTCCCAAAATGAGAGGTTGGCTCAGGTCAACCTCTTGAGAAGGAGCACTCCACTGTTCACCTTCTTTCCATCTAGGTGGGGTGGGGCCTTTAATCCCAGTCAAGACAGGTGGATCTCTGTGAGTCTGAGGCTGGTCAGGCCTACAGGGAAGTTCCAGGCTAATCAGGGCTACATGGTGAGACCCTGTCTTAAAAGAAGAGAGAGACCAAAAAAACAATTATTATTCTCTCTTGTTTTAAACATTTTTTTGTTTTTGTTATTTGTGTTTTTGTTGGCTTTTTTTTTTATTTTATTTTTGTTTATTTATTTTAAGACAGGGTCTTACTATGTAATCACAGCTGGTTTGGTACTAATCATGTAGCCCAGAGTGGTACTGATCTTTGAGCTCATAGGCCTCAAACTTGGAGCAATCCTCCTGCCTCAGCCTCTCAAATACTGGGATTACAGACGTACCACTGTGCCCAGCTTTAACTATAACGTGTGTGTATGTGTGTGGCGCGTGCCAGAGCTAGTCTTTTTGGGTGTTTTCCACTATTACCCTCCACCTTATCTTTTGAGATAGGCTCTCTCATTGTGTCCAGCACTCATCAGGTTGCTGCGCTAGTTGACAGGGAGCGCCTAGGATTCTCGGATTTGCATGCCCCTTCCCCATCCAGAGCTAAGGTTGCCTGGTCTGTCACGTGGGTGCTGGAGACAGGGATGCTTGAAATGCTAGCTGAGCTGACTGCGCCATTCTGTCCACCCCAGTGTTTATTTATTACTAACAATTCATATTTAAAGGGCTTCACTGCTTGAAAAAAAGTAGAAAAACAATTTAAGGAGAAAATTTCTGTACTTTGTGGTCTGTGTATTTTTGTTTTGTTTTGTATTCTGAGATAGGATATCTCTGTGTAGTGCTGTCTGTCCTGGATCTCGCTCTGTAGACCAGGCTGGCCTTGAACTCACAGAGATCCACCTGCCTCTACCTCCTGAGAGCTGGGATTAAAGGCATGCACCACCACACACAGCTATCTGTGAGAGTCTTATTCTGTCTTGGTCCCCCGGAGAAATCACTCCAGGTTCACTCTGACACTGTAGCCTGCTCCACAACTCTGTGAAACAGGGTCTCATTGTATTCTAAACTGGCCTAAAATTGGGTATGTACCTGAGGTGACCTGAAGTCCTAATCCTTCTGCCTCTGCTTCCAAGTGGTGGAATAACAGGTGTATGCTATTACACCTGGCTGGCCTGCCTCCCTCCCCTACTACCT